ATATAGATATAGATATAGATATAGATATAGATATAGATATAGATATATATATATATTCTGAGGTTCTCGCGGGTATTTGTATGTGGATCTTTGGTTGTTGTTCGGGTTTTCTCCCGCGTAAGATTCGAAGTATCTAGGCAACGTTTCGATGAAGTCTCATTCATCATCTTCAGGCTTCTGTCTCCGGCTCTGTGCTTCTCAGAGTGATGTGAGATTGCAGCTGCTTCCTCCTTTTAACTGCTAGTGGGGGTGGGACTTGATTGGGTGGGGGCTTGGCTGTGTTCTGATTGGGTGGGGGTGTGTCCTCATTGGTAGGGGGTTTGGCTGTGTTCTGATTGGTTGGGGGGTTGGCCGTGTTCTGATTGGTTGGAGGCGTGTTCTGTTCAGGTGGGGGCTTGGTTGTGCTCAGGTTAGTCTTAGTTGCTGGGGGATTTGAGTTGGTGAGCTGTGATCTTGCTGTTTGGCTTCGAGTTCGTGGTCGTGCTGCATCTTCATAGTGGGTGTCGGTTTGCTTCATGTATGGCTCGGAGGGGTTTGAAGTGGGTAGTGATGCAGCTGCAGTGCAGCTTCTGGTCCATGGTCGTGTCTCATCTTCTGAGTGGGTGTGAGTCTGTTTTCATGAGAGCCACACAAGATGCCACCACCACACTTCCATGTAGAAAACAGACTCACACCCACCCAGTACTCCAGCTGTATCATTTTACTCTTTACAGATTGTCTAACGTTTAGATACCTTAAATCCGTATGCTTGCTCCTAGTTTTTACAGCAATATTCGTGGCCATTTGAATTGCTGCCTGATTATCTTCATGTACAATTATAGGATAATTTACAGTTATACCCATATCATTCATCATTTGTTTATACATAATTAATTCAGTACATAATAGCGATAAACAGGAGAATTCTGCCTCCATAGTAGACAAACTTATATGCTGTTGTCTTATTGACTTCCAACCTATTAATGTTTTACCCAGCATTATGGCTGTTCCTGAAGTCGACTTTCTTGTGTCTCTTTCTGATGCAAAACTAGCATCTGCATAAGCACTCAGTATGAGATCACCTTTTGGTTCTAGATACAGTGCATGGTGTAATGTTCCTTTAAGATATCTTAAAATTCTCTTTAAAGCATTCCAATGACACTGAAGTGGATCATTATTGTGTCTTGCCAGTTGATTAATACTATAAGCTATATCTGGCCTTGACCAATTGCTAATGTATGATAAGCTACCAATCAAAGATTGATATATTACCTTATCAAACTTGGGACTTTGAGCATCCATTTTGCAAATATCCTGACTCATTGGAGTCTTTGCAGGCTTACAAAGTTCCATCTTATAATCTATTAGCAATTTAGATATCTTATCCTCCTGAGATATCTTAAAACCTTTCTGTGTTTTCAGTATATTCAAACCTAGATATCTCTTTATCTCCCCTAATTGCTTGATTTTCATTTTCTTGGCTAATGATGCTATTATTTTATTGGCTTCATCATTAGTTTTAGTAATCAATGCAATATCATCCGTGAATAATAATAATAATGATATTTTCCCATTTGTCTCCCTTTTAAATAGACATGGATCGGCTAAACCAGCTTTAAACCCTATATTGTTTAATTCCTTTACAATATA